AAAATGGCGCCCTCGAAAAAGGCGCCCTATGGTGCTTATATTGTACTATGTAGTGTGTGTACTTCTTCTGCATGTACATGTATATACTGTACAAGATGATTTATTGGCAAGGAATTAATATTGGCGATTGGTGGTTTTATGAAAAAATCGCCAATATAACATCCACCGTTTTGTTTCAATCTGAGCATGCTCAATGGCACGTGGCACAAAATTGCCATTATAAGATCTGCCATTAACTTTCTACTGGCAAATTCGCCAAATAAAAGTTGCAGTTATATTATACAATGTACAACGTACATGTACACGAAATAATAATTTTTAAATTATTTTTATAGGTTTTATTAAAGCACATTGATAAAACTGAATTGCTAAATTCATTACAAAAAGTATCACATCACAAGTCACAAAACTGGTAAGCACATCACTATGCACTCAATCATACTCAATGTGTACATGTACATGTGTATTTGTAATTATGTTGGTATTTTTTCATTACTAGTAAACATATTCATATTTTGTGTTTTATAAATATTGACATAGTTTTAAGGAAGTGGTTATGCAACACATGAAGAGTTTACATAAACATTATATGTACATTTACATTGTACACATATTTGTGCTTTATTGATATATGTGTACAATTGTAAAATTAAACGTGTACACAAAAATTTAGTTAACACGTACATGTGTATCAGTACAAGCAAAGGACATAGTTGTATGTTCAACACAAATGCATCGTTTCAGGGAAAGTTGTTTTCAGCTGCTACGCTACGTGTACATGTACATGTATATATGGCAATATTCATGCATGCATGTATATATGCATGTGTTGTTCTGCTGGTACATATATCAAGTGATCTTTGTTTGTCAGCTCAGTCTTGTGATAGAAAGGATGGAAAGGAATTATACTTTTACTGGTGATTTCAGTCCTGAGGCAGTAGCAGCAGTTCTTAGTATTGAGATGATACTAGCTCTCATAGCTAATGGTGTTGTGCTAGTCATTACTATTTATCAAAGGAAGTCCTGGAAACAATCATTAACAATATTCTTTACTTCTCTCATACTGGCACACCTTGTATTGACACTCTATCTTCCTTTCTCCATTGCTGCATTAGCTGCTCGTGAATGGGTTGTTGGTGGCACTGAAGAAGAAAAGCAAGGAACCTGTGGCTTTACTGCTTTTGTGATTTTATTCAGTGTCTATGTGATGCTCATGACTCTAAGTCTTGTCTCAATTGATCGGTTCCTTTCCATTGTAAAGCCTCATCTCCACAAGCGGTTCATGAGTCCAAGGGTAGCTCTGGTCCTTGTCATTATTGTGTGGAGTTTTGATTTACTTTTCTTTTCTACTGGATTCATTGATGGCTCTGGTGTTGAATTCCGCTATATAGATTATCTGGGAGTCTGCTATGCTTTTACTACCAGCCCAGTTATGGCCATCTTTCGTTTTTTCTTTGCTTCGTTGATATTTATAATCATCATTGTCACATCAATTTG